TCTGCAATTCTCCCAGCTTGTTAGTGTTTAAAAGTCTGGTTAGGTTAGGTTATTGGGTGCCCAGGGGCTCTAACCGAGACCAAGACCAGTTAGGGTTCGTTCCCAGACCCAAAATAACCTAACTGGACCAAAGATAACTGACCATAACTGGTTAGTTGCAGTTACTAACCAGTTAGGACCGAAAGAATAGAAAATCGATTAAAACAGCATATATTTCTCATATTTCCTGCAGTAAACATTATTACCATGCATTGTAGCTTTAAAACAAGCCCAAGAACGCTAAATTTGGTGAAGAATTGATGATTTTATGATAATATTCTTGAAAGTCTACTCTTTTCGCCAATATTTTAAAGATTTGACCATAACTCTGTCAGACTTTTAGTGTTTCTCATGCTTTTAGATGTGTTTTGAAGGGGTATAATAGGGTTGGTTGTAACTGGTTATAACCGGTTTTTTAACAGTTAGTTAACTGTAAAATAACTGGTTATTTCATTTTCAGAATTGACTAACCACTAACCGTGGTCCGGTCTTTTTGCAGTTAGGTCCGGTCTGGTCTCGGTTATTTTCCAGTTAGCTGACCTAACCTTCAAACACTACAGCTTGTTAACAATTTTCATGGTCAAGCCACAGAAGCAGAAAGTGCTGGATATGCAGAACCTGCCTTCAAAAGTGCAGTCAATATTCTCCATTACAGGATACCTTGGGAATGATTTGAAGGTCAACCCCAATGTCCCAGATGTTTGAGCAATGAAATTGGGGAAATTGGGGAGAGCAAACCACGAATGGTGGAGGAAGGGCAAGGTGACTTGTCAAAAAAGCAGGAGATGAACAGCTGATACATGTTGTAGAGAGAAAGGGGAATGGTCTCATAAAATGTCTGTGCCAAGTATTGATCATGAATGGCCACAGGCCAGCATCAACATTCGCAACTGCTTTTGGCATTAGGGGGGAAAAAACACTGAGACAATCATGAAATGCTGATAATAGAGCATACAGCCAGAATGACAAGACACAGTCTTTTGCAAATGGAGATGGTGCATACTGGGCATTTCTTTTAAGCCCAAGAACAGATGAAATGGATAAAAACACACTGCTAAGTGAAATGCTCCCCCTGGGCATAAAAATTTGACATACAGCCAGAACAACAAAACACGGTCTTTCGAAAATAGAGATGGTGATTCGTTCGTACTGGGCGTTTCTTTTAAGCCCAAGAACAGGTGAAACGAATGAAAACTCACTGCTAAGTGAAATTCTCCCCCTGGACATAGAAAATTAGCATACAGCCAGAACGACAAAACACGGTCTTTCGCAAATGGAGATGGAGATTTGCTCGTACTGAGCGTTTCTTTTAAGCCCAAGAACAGGTGAAACGAATGAAAACTCACTGCTAAGTGAAATTCTCCCCCTGGGCATAGAAAATTAGCATACAGCCAGAACGACAAAACACGGTCTTTCGCAAATGGAGATGGAGATTTGTTCGTACTGTGCGTTTTTTTTAAGCCCAAGAACAGGTGAAACGGATGAAAACTCACTGCTAAGTGAAATTCTCCCCCTGGGCATAAAAGTCTGACATACAGCCAGAAGGACAAAACACGGTCTTTCGCAAATGGAGATGGAGATTTGCTCGTACTGTGCGTTTTTTTTAAGCCCAAGAACAGGTGAAACGGATGAAAACTCACTGCTAAGTGAAATTCTCCCCCTGGGCATAAAAGTCTGACATACAGCCAGAAGGACAAAACACGGTCTTTCGCAAATGGAGATGGAGATTCTTTCGTACTGAGCGTTTCTTTTAAGCCCAAGAACAGGTGAAAGGGATGAAAACTCACCGCTAAATGAAATGCTTCCTTGGGCATAAAACTTTGACATACAGCCAAAACAACAAAACACGGTCTTTCGCAAATGAAGGTGGTGATTCCCTCATACTGGATGATTTTTTTAAGCCCAACAACAGGCGAAACAGATGAAAACTCACTTCGAAACAATGGTGATATAGTATTTTCCCACCTTCGAGGACCAAAATCCGGTCCATTCGGTGTCCGAATGGACCGGATTTTGGTCCTCAAAGGAGGGAAACATGACATCATCTCTCTCATGATGCTTACCAGCGGCAGCGGTCACAACAATTGTTGAAGTTTGTTGAAGTTTGTTGAAGTTTGTAGATAGGGTCAATTCCTTGGTTCCTAACAATTGTTGAAGATTGTTGAAGATCCCTCAATTGTGGGATTGAGGGAAAGCTGAGAATCTGGAAGATTATGGGGGATTTTCCAAGATTATTCAGTCTCAATTTTGTTCGTGTACCAAACGTACAGACCTACAAAATGCAAGATTGCCAAAGATCTCAGGTTGTAAATAGAACCAAAGCCTAACTGTAATTGAAAGATTGTTGAAGATTCCACAAGATTGTTGAAGATTGTTCGCAAAATTTGGCTTTCTTCCTTCACTTGTTTCTGTAATGGAACAATCTTTGACAATCTTCAACAATCTTTGGCTATCTTTGACAATCTTTGACAATTGCCAGCTTTATTTCATGAAAAGTATGTAGGTAGAAAAAAAAAGTGAGTTTTGTCCACAGACGGCCGTCAAACATTACTCTCCTACATGTCCCACACCATGGCTGATTTTGCCCTCGCTCGTGGTGCAAAGCCAAGAATCCCATTTTTAATCAAAACAATCCTGGGCTCAGCAATCGCTATTGCTTTGGCATTGGGATTATCTGGCCCGATTGTATCGCCTGCTTCGCTTGGCCTACCCCTCTGTGCGTCTAGTTTGTCTTGGCTCTCGCTGTGCCATTGATTATATTTAAACGGTTATCTTACAGTCGACAAAAACTTTAGTACCACGAAACTTGTGACGACATACCGGCGTGCTCCTCAGCATTCGGTTTTCATGGTCACTCTTCATGAGTCTCATTCCGGTCCCACAGTCGATGCCGATAGCACGGAAAGCTCTTCTTCTTCTCAAAAATTAGGCTCCAGTGGTAATCAAGGCACTTTTGGTGGTTTGTGGTTGCGCCAGGCCTAGCTAAAGTGCACTACTAACCCTTACTCTCAGGGGAAAGTGTTTTTTTGTCAAGCGAAGGTCTCCTTTCCGGGGACTCTCGCTCGAGCAGTGGCAACGAGGGTACTATTCATCTTCAAATCACATTGGTTGCCTGTAGGCTAACGAAGACATGTCAGATCCACAGAAGCTGCGTGGTCCTGGTCAGAACTTCTCCTGCGGGTATAGGTCTTACAACGGACAGCGGTGCGACAGTTGGGCTTGTGACAGGCTCTACCTATGTCAGCCAGGACAAGGTGTTGATAGAGGCACATGCGTCAGTTTAGTCCCACCACCCGGGAATAATCGACCTATCGACTGCACGAATTGTGTGTGCCGGAAGCTTTAATTGAAGAGTCTCAGATTACCCCCATATGTGTCCGATTGCATTCTTGTATTGAACAACTTCTGCCCCCATTCATTCTAGCTATTGAGCGTGTAAGAAGCAATCGGCTTGCAGAATGTCTCGTACCGCATAAAGGAGGAGAGCTGCAATTGAAATGTCATCGATATCGACTCCAAGTACGGCAGGGATATTTACGTGCCGTGATCATGAAAGCCAGTCACTCGACTGGAACTCAAGGAGAATTTGTGACTTTCTCTCTCTCTTGGGTCTTGGGTCCCATTCATTTGCGAGGTCATTGATAGCCTGGCTCGCTCAGGTAGGTATGCCACGTCATCGTATCGCCCCTGAGTCGATTGAATTTGCGAACCCAGCAAGGGGTCTATCATTGCAATGGGCGGGAAGTTGGTGGCAAGACGTAGGCATGTTATTTCAGAATGTCGGACCGCACGCTGACCTGGTTACGAGCCCCAGGGCTCTAAGCGTTGAGGCACGGTGTTGCATGTCTGAGTCTTGTACCCAATAGGCTGATTGTACACACGTTGTTTCTTGCAAAGTCTCATGACGATAACGATCCTGAAAACTAGTCAGGAGAGTAGGCCACAGTAAATCCATTAGAGCGCTGAAAATGAGACCTCACCTCACGAGTGACTGGTAAAATAGGGCATAGTGGACGCTGGAGATAACGATCTGTCAAGGAGATACCTCAGCACAGATAGGTGACCTTTCTCCCTACGATCAAGGAATTCTGTAAATGACAAGGGGAGACGTTTTAGGAAGGGTGAATGGAGTAGGCAGGTTGTTAAGCTTACTTGTTCTGCACCTTCTGATCTGAATCGTTGCTTTTCGGTCCGAGTCAGACGTAGTCAACCTACTGGATACTTAGCATCAATCTGTAGCGAATGATATGGAAGTTGTGTAGGCTTAACGCAACATACCAGGGATGACTTGAAGCGTGGCTTCTCGGTCAAATCATGTGTTCCCTTCCCCACGTGGGGCCGCCTTCGCATTTCGAGGTGGCTTGGGAATGGAGACGGTAGGCTGCAAAAGCTTGTATACGATGAGGAAACCTGCTGACGGCAGCGGCAGCACTCGGAATAAGGGACTCAGCAAAATGTCTGTTCCTTGGCGGAGCGCCCTCCCTCTACCGCCTTTTGATTTCTCAGACGCATCCCGTGTGACTTCGCTTGGGAACGGTATAGTGTATCTTGTAGGTACTAAATAAATCTGCTCAGGGTTTTTAAAACGGGAGGACTAACTCAGCTAAGGGTTCTTTTCTGGAGGAGCGCCCTCGCTCCGCGGCTACCGTTTTTGAGTTGTGTGCTGGGAATTCTTTGTTGCATCCCGCCTGCACACTTGCAATTCTTGGTCGGTCTGTATCTCGATGCTTATAACGGTTGCGCTGCTTAGGGTCCGGCGGGACTGGAAATAATGGACCCAGACGTCGTGATGGAGCATCTTCGTTCTGCCGCTTTCGAGTTGGATCGTTTGGTAAATCCGATTGCATCCTGGGGCGCATCAAGTATCACAAATTATTTAATCAAACTTGACGTCCTCAGATCGGAGCCAAACAGAAACTTTCCAAAGACAGGATCACCCCCAGATTCTTCGATTTTGAACCACAGGTCCTAGAAAAATTCGCGCGATGTTTTGCAGAGAGAAAAGGTCATTGCAGCTACGGCCAATATAAAGCAGCGCTATTCGAGTGTCGTTCTAAATCTACGTTGAAGCAGCAGATTGACTAAGTTTGCGTGTTTGTGAGCGTTTCAACGGCGCGTCGGAGAAGGAGGAAAAGAGGTTGTTGTTGGCCATCAGCAAAAACCCTGGGAACTGGTAGACATTGTAAGTCGGTGAAATCCGAGGGAGACGTTACAATATGTAACATGTGTTACAACGCGTTTACAATCTGTTCACCATAGCCGAAATGGCTTGTAGATGTTGCAACTATGTCACCCGCTCCTTACCATTCCTTGCTACTTTACGGGACTTAAGCGTTTTTTCAACATGTCAGAATCACGGGAAGGATCGGATCCAACCAACACGGTGGCGCCGCCTTTTCCCATTCCACCTCGCTCAACCCTCAACCGCCCAGCCTCGTAACGTCTCACTGTACGGCGGCGCTCAACGGAGCTACTGTCTCTGTGGGCTCAGCTTCCTCTCAGGATTGCGCCGCCTCCTCGACATCTCGTCAGCCCTCCGCCTTTCCTCTCGTGTTGAACGTCCGAATTCGGAAATTTTTGAACCTGTGAACTTTTCCCTCAACGTCCAACTTCACGCTCTCCCCTGCCCTCCTCCCGCGCAATGTCTTCATGATTGGGTATGTGCTTGGCCAGCACAAACTTACTCATGATGACATTGACATCGACACATTGCATACTATGGCAGAATCTTTTTACCACAAGCGCAACAAATTCGTCAATTCCAGAAGCCCATTTGTGGCACAATGCAGCCAGAAGACCCTGGCCGCCCCACGGCACATGCCAAGCATGCGGTGGGCGGTAAGTATTGGAGAGTGCGACGTGACCTTTGGATGACGACGAAGCAAGGTGACGTCGGGAGAGTGCCGGGGATGGGGGTATTTGGAGGTGGTGACGTGGGGCCTCCATTTCGATGTGGAGGAAGTTGTCCATGGGCGATAGGATGGGTAACGCAATTTCGAGGTACGTGGATTCACACCATTTCCGTAGCTTTCACTGACAACGCAATTTTAGACCATCGACTGATACTCACAAGATACTGGTATTCAGTGCGATTGCTCCGAATGTCCGAACGAGGTGATCCTCCCGCCCCACTCCTTCATGAATGTGTTCTCAAGTTCCCCCACTCCAGTGATTGCATCCGTCGCTTTCAATGTGCGTTGTTAATTCACTCTAATACAATTGCTTACTCAACTACCTTATCCAAGGAACGTTTTGATTCTACGAGAGTGACGAGGGAGATGACGATATCGTTACCGTCTTTGGCAGCACAAATATGGGCGCAGGCGGCTGAAGATCACAAGAAGTGTAGGCTATTTAGTACCGTGCAGGCTGCAACCATATTTACATAAATAAATCTTCCTGTACATATGCATATCCCAATTGAGATTGTGGCGACATTCTATCTTCATACAAATCAACTTGTAATTGGCTTGCAAGTGGCAATCTGATAAAATATATACATTTCTGACACCTATTGGCAATGCGTGCAATTATTGTGTGACATTACAATGCCGCTACTGTACTATGACAATGTACCTTGTAAAATATCCCTCAGCGATGTAAGCGGTGATAACTGATTGCACTCATTGTAAGGTCATTGCGAGCCCTTTTGATCCTTGTCGTCTGGTGGCAACTGAATCCAAGGTGATCAAAATAGTCATGGGTTTTTGCTGAAGTTTGTTGTCACAAATTATCCATCGTCTCTTCCCCCACACTTCGAGTTACTCGAACCAATTGCGGGTCTACATAATGGCCGCCTACCAAAACACCACTTCACAGAACATTTTTAGGAGTAACACAATTCATCGCCCCAGCCTGCAGCACGCGATTCCATTGACAACTCGACCACCGGTATTGGGTACTTAGTACTGCTGCCATTCAAGCGGCTCAACCTCTCGCACAGCCCACTATCATGCAAGCCTCCGCCACACAAGTGGCATGCTCACCATCTCCACTCGACCCCTCCGCGCGAGCAGAGCACACGCATGTTGATAATCGACCATATGTTGTGGGTCCATGGTACGCCGTTGCACCCATATGCTTCAACTCAATCTCAGGGAGAACGCGCTCTGATCAGGCTAGAGCTGACTGGTCGTACGGGTGGCCCATCGTCGCCTAATAATGCACACCATCGGAGAGCAAGAGAACTATGAGGAAGAGGACGAGCTCGGAAGTGAAGGTGAAGATGCGGGGTTTTTTACATAAACCGAGATCGGACGTCGCAATGACGAAGAGGACGACGCCGGGATCTAACACTCGCGCGAAGCCTCAGATCACGCGAAGAAGGGCTCGAGAAAGTCGGCTCGAATACCCCCCCCGATCGACGACGACGACATCACTACACCACCAAGTTCACCCAAGCTCAAACCCTCCAAGCATCCGCATACTTTACCTTTGCTTTACCTCCGCTTGCGCCTATCCCTCTGCACGGTCTTTCTTCAAGTGGAAGAAAGTACGAACCAGCGAAAAGAAGAATGACTTAAAACCTCCTTCCTTCCCGCACGGACAATCCTCCTCCTTTTCACAGCTTCCAGCTTACATCCTCCTCTTTTTCTTTCCCTGCAGCAGCTAGGCAAACTACACTAGGGACCAGCTGGGAATGGGGTGAGATTACGGGGTGGGAGTGGACTTTGGGCTTGGCCTGGCGTAAGGGGAGGCGCGTTAATGCAATGCGGAAGGCCATCCTGAATCGAACTTGGGGAAGCAAAATCAAAAAGAAAACAGCGAGAAAAAGCAGGACAGGAAGAAGGGGGATCAGGGTCGGGGAACAACAAGATTGAGCAAGTTGATCACTACGGTTTATTCGCTTTCGGCTTGGCCGCTGCTGAGCTGGGAGAGGGGAGGAGGAGGTTATTGGTGTTAGAGAAGAGGAGAAACATCCTGCTGAAGTATCACAGGCTGCTGAGGGTGTGGAAGGGAGTACGAATCAGCGGAAGGATGGATTCATCAGGCTGACTCGGAGAAAGTGGGAGCGCATTTCTCTCCCCCATGTCCCCTTGAACTCATCTTCGACCCACCACTCCTCCAACCTCCAAGTCCCCAAAAGATGTACGAGACCGCCCTCCCTCGTAACCTCCCTCGCTTGAACGATACCTGGCCTCACTTTGATCGCTGGAAGTCTAAAAGCTACACACTATTCCCTTTCGTAAAAAGGGCCTTCCGCATTCAAGGTACGTGTATGCGACTCATTCACTAAGTCTCGTTGCTGACCCTCTATAGGCTACCCATGATCGATTGAACCTTTCTAAAACCCACCACCCTTAGAAGTCCAATGCGACCCCATTCCTAAGAGCCGAAAAGATGTACGAGACCGCCCTACCTCCCTCGCTGGAATGATACCTCCTTCGAGCTGACCTCAGCTTGATCGTTGCTGCTGCTGGAATACAAAGCTACACACCATTCCCATCATTCTCTCCCACGACCCCTTCAACTCACCTTCGACCCACCACTCCTCTAGCACGGCGCAACCTCCAAATCCTTGAAAGATGTACGAGACCGGCCTACCTCTCTCGCTGGAATGATACCTGGCCTCAGCTTGATCGTTGCTGCTGCTGGAGTCCAAAGCTACAAACAATTTTCATTTGTGCAGAAAGCCTTCTTCGCACTGAAGGTATGTGCAGGTAACTCATTCACTGAGTCTCGTTGCTGACTTGCTATAGGCACATTCACTGCTCCGGACCGTCACTCGACCATCTTCTTATCAGATACTTCATCGTGCAAATGTCTTCCGCGTTCATCGTTCCATACGACCTCAAGACACCCGCGCCCAGGGTTGACGTTGCAAATCTCCGGAACTCCACTCTGCAGAAAAAGTTACGACCGTCTCATCTTTGGGCAGTGGCTTTGCGGAGAAGAGTTGCTGACGCCAAGAGGGGAATTTGGTCGGGAAGTCTATTGGAAGTGGCGTGAAGGGATGCGACAACCACCGTACAAACCAATTGCTAGCTCACGAATCAAACCTATGAGCGACCTTTCGGAAGGGCGATGTGGAGATGTTTCGGTGTCCAACATTCGCAAGTAGCGTCGAATGGTCGTCGTCCACCTCACGCGCACGCCTGGTAAACACCGGCTCAGCAACGGCCTTCAATCCTCCTTTCCGAAGTCAGTACACGAATGGAGAAAGAGCGTGCGTCACCTACCCTCCTCGACCCCCCATTTCCTTCTCTTTTTGCAAGAAGCTTCGAGGATACGATGAAAAAACGAACTCTCCTTGAAGGTTGCACAGCCACAGCTCCGGTGCACTTTCTTCGGTTTGTTGTTTCTCCTACTCACCCTCATCCAATCTCAATCTTTGCGTCCTTTGAAGGAAAAACGGAACACCGTCCCCCGTGTCTCGACATACAAGAGGAGGCTATGCACATCAATGCTGACACCCCACGTCAGGTAAACACTGGCATTCTTCAAGACTCAGCAAAGGCCTCAACCCTTCTTTGCGAAACCAATACATGACTCAAGAAAGAGCTTGTGTCATCTACCCTCCTCGACGCCCCCCCTTGTCGCAAGGAAGCTTCGAGGATACGATGAAAAGACAAATTCCCGTTCGAGGTTGCACAGCCACAGTTCCGGTGCACTTGTTCGGTTTGTCGGTTCTCGTGGTCACCTCCATCCAATCTCAATTTTTGCGTCCTTTGAAAAGAAAAATGCCGCGAGTCTCGACATACAAGAGGAGGCTATGCACATCAATGCTGACACCCCACGTCAGGTAAACACTGGCATTCTTCAAGACTCAGCAAAGGCCTCAACCCTTCTTTGCGAAACCAATACATGACTCAAGAAAGAGCTTGTGTCATCTACTCCTCGACGCCCCCCCTTGTCGCAAGGAAGCTTCGAGGATACAATGAAAAGACAAATTCCCGTTCGAGGTTGCACAGCCACAGCTCCGAAGCACTTCTTCGGTTTGTCGGTTTTCCTAGTCACCCCATCCAATCTCAATCTTTGCCTTCCTTGAAAAGAAAAACGGAGTCTCGACATGCAGGAGGAGGCCGTGCACGTCAATGCTCGCCTTCAATTGTGACCAGGGCTCGAATGCAATCCATGGAGTAGATTCGGAGTGGCGCTAGGTTCATCCTGGTACATACATGGTGAGTTTGCCAGTGGACAACATGGTTATCGTCTGACAGATTTCTCAAACTTTCCTATAGGTATTCTACAAGACTTTCAGTGCGCGATACACGATGGAGAGGTGCCGACAGGAAAGACTCAACCCATTCTGAAGCTTCTAATGCGAGGCTCTTGCCAAACACGACCAAACAGTCCTCCTCGAAGCGTCGATCACATTCTCTGTTCCCTTGACGAAGCGCTACCTCCGGGTCATCTCTCAACAATTCCTGCGCATCTACCTGTCCTTCGATATTCAATCTGAAACTGTCGGACCTCATTCGAGGCAAATTGACAGCAGCAGAGAACAGATTTGATCCGCGAAGTTCGGCTACTCATACTCTATAGTTGTGAAGGTGGTCGCCATAAATAGGTGCACACCTCACTGCTCACTCAAAGCTCAACGTTTGAAAGGTGACGAGTCTCCTGCGAAAGGTGGCGATATCAAATAATATGTCTAATGCACGGTGGTCCGTCTAACCAAAGGAAACCAGGTTGAGACTCGTTTTCAAAGAACGATAAAAGTCTGGATTCGGTCCTGAAAGCTTGAAAGGTGGGAAGGTTATTCACGCTTCCAAGACGTTTCGAAAAGCCTGGATCTGGCACCGGCTTTCCCTGCGCGTCCCCTTTTACCCCTTGGCTCTAAAGGATTGTTATGGGCTCATCCTCAACATGTCCCAGGTAAACTGGTGCATCAGAGGGTATGCGATTGGTATCATCTTTTAAACTGGACCAACCTCTATAGAGGGACAGCGGTATCTTGAGCTGCGTGGCAGGTACACATTTGGTACACATGTATCATCCCGATATAATAATAAATGTGCAGAACGGTGTAATCATGGAGCGCTGGAGTCTACTTCTGGCGACGCTCCTATTCGAATACGGGGCCTGTAGAAGTGACTAACTGCTCGGAATGTGTCTTACACGTCCGTTAATCCAAGACACCTACGCTGATGATGAGGGGATATTGAGGGAAGAGCGAAATAAGCCTGAAAAACGCTTATGCCAGGTTAGTATAGAGGACACGTCGTCCACGCTACATGACTTGGATCCGGCATGAAGTCGGCGAACTTTGTTATCCTGCATGGATATCTTTATATGGGCTAAAGATTTGGCGTAGCTACAGGGTATTGCTCGATGTTTTGACTCTTGCCCACAAAATCGGATATATACAGGTTTGACGTGTTTGAGTACGGCTTTGCTTTTATTGTCGTGCTCCGAGACGTACAATTCTTATGGCCAGCAATACAGCTCCAAGGCTGAGCTAATACTATGACTAAGGGATTGGGAAACGCGTGGAAATTTTTGATAGGTCCTTGCAGTGTCCGGAAGTTGAGGGGGGAGCGATGACGTCTAGCCTGTGGGTAGAAAATTACAATCTGTAAAGATGAGATTTTACTTCAAGCGCTACAAAAAGGTGCTAAAGTAACTCACGCAACCCAACTTGACTATTCCATTGAATAGACAAGAGAAATGGTGGAGGTATTCCTGCTGGACAAAGAGCCACCTTTCGGCTCACATAAAAAGCGCGCATGGTGATCGCGGACACCCGGGTAATTTTTTCAAGCAATGTTGAACATTACAGGTTAAGATAGTTGAATTCCGAAGCAGGGGAGAGGTGCGGTGCATGAGCTATGGCTGGTCCGAAACCACAGGTCCTAGAAAAAGTCGTGTGATGTTGTACAGAGAAAGGTCATTGCAGCTACAGCCGATATGAGTTGGCGCTATCCGAGTGCCGTTCCAACTCTATATTGAAGCAGCAGGTGAACTGAGTTTGCACGTTTGGAAGCGTTTCAACGGCGCGTTGGAGAAGGAGGAAAGGAGGTTGTTGTTTGTTGTTTGTCAAAAATTATCATCCCCCCTTATCTCAGTGTGACGATCTTGACATATCCTCATGCACACCGTATGTGTGTGCTTTTTGTGGCCAGCACTGGTGCCTCCGAGACAGCCTGGTCGGATTGACAATTCAATCTTTCGTTTCAGTTGACTGAATCGGGCAATGGGTATGTGATCTTACATGTGTTCAGCCTCACCTTCCGTGCATTGAGAAAGGCTAAAAGATTGGCTCAAAATCGAGCAGAGTCGCTCAACTCCCAACCTTCCACTTGCCTTCTCAGAATTTCCTGAGCTCTTTGACGCATATACATATCTTCAGTGGGTTCTGAACCTCGCCCTCTCAACAATATTCCGAAGGCTTTTATGGCGACCTCCTCTGCCAATATCAATCCACCTGAGGTCTTGATTCTGTACGCCATCATTCCCCTCGCACCAAGCCATATACTGACACCGAAAATGCCAGCGTAATGGGTCAAGCGGGATGCGGGAAGAGCCTTGTAAGTTGAAGGGTTCGCGCTTCGTCACCTCCTCCTCAACGTCGAAAAAAAGTTCATAAATAGTGCGGCGGGGAAAGACGAGAAAAGTAATGGCGGCTTAAATGCCGGTACGGAACTTCGGATAACTAGTTGTTCGCATCCTACGACCCCTTCAACACCCTTCACCCTTGTCGAAACACCGGGCTTCAACAATACCAATCTGACACCCAGCGACTTCGATATTCTAGTGCAGACCGCGAAGTTGATGAAAAAGGAGTGAGTAGACTTATTCTGTTTCGATTGTGTCCACTCTCATAAGGTGCAGGTTCAGCGGTTATAAATTCGGCGGGATTTTATATCTGCAGCAGAAAGGCCAAGGAAAGCCTGTGCTAACGGAGTTGCTCGGTAATGATGTTTTGAAGGAGAACCTTCTCCACGTCGTCACGATCCTCGGCCCATCTTCTGGAGGCAGCTCCGAACAGGGGGAATCATACTTTCAGAATACCCGAGAAATTTCCGAGAGAAATGTCTCTGCGTGGGAGATCATCGACAAAGTCTATAAAGAAGTAGGAAACAGGAACCTCACGGTTGGTGTCGTTCATCCTGCGCTTGAGACCCTATTTGAATTGAAGAAAGGGGGGAAATCAAATGCTGGCGGTCGGAGCCTCTGGCTTTCTTTCATCTTCCGTTAATCATAATTTAACAAGAAACCTTTCTTAAATAGAGATCATGCTCGAATTGAACTACTATTTCATCTCTTCAAGTTGTTCGAGTGGCTACCGTTACCAGTGAGTTATCGGTGATATATTCGGGTGTATCATCATATTATTGGGACGATTTGGCTTTCATCACCGCCCACTGGCTAGTTGGACCAAAGTTGGACTTGCACTCATGAATAACTTCCCAGTTGGTTGAAGTGTACATCATTCTGAACGCGCGCAATTGACAGGAGTTCAAAAGATTATCCGTGCTGAATGGCCTCCTTGGCACTCATTCACGCCATTCACGCAGTACTTTACCATCCCCCACATAATCCACATGGACTCCACTGGATTCCACTGGATTCCACTGGATTCCACTGGACTTCACTACATACTGGCAATATCCACAAATCTGGACTCCACTGGACTCCCAGCACAAAACTGGACTCCACTGGACTCCACTGGACTCCACTGGACTGCAAGCACAAAACTGGACTGGACTGGACTGGACTGGACTGCAAATCACAAAACTGGACTGGACTGGACTCCACTGGACTCTCCCAACACAAAACTGGACTGGACTGGACTGCCACAGACCTAAGTTAATCCAGAATTCCTCTTCAAAACAAAAAATAAAATTGAAGTATATTCATTAATTAAATTAATA